CGAATTTTGATATAAGATTGTAACCTTTGCTACTTTGTCTTTCCAATCTTTTGGATCACTTGGATTTTGCAACCATGCAGTTGAATTGATCAATGAAATTTCATTTTCAATCTCATCAAGATTGTCAACTCCCTAAAATATTACTTATGCACTCACTTACCATTTATTACATTTAATTAAACATCTAAATAGCAAATTCGAAGGATTTTAAATGGATGAATGATTAGCAAATAATTTATGCATTAATAATGAGTTTTGATTATAATTAAAGTTTAATTGCTCATTTAACATTATAAATTATTTTCCAATGATCATATTATAAAATAAGAAAATATGTATTCATTAGTAGCATGATCTGTTTTTTAATTTTATTTGTATAATTTAAAATATACCAACCATTGTTTTATCATATTCAAGTAATGCATCAATTCTTATTCCATTCCCCTCATTACCATCATCATATTCCTGCTGTTTCTCTTGACAAATTAAGCATAATTGCTAAAATATTATTTTTTTTCAAAAATTACAGTTATATTCTTCATTGTTTACAGGTAATTTCTTTTAAATGAAGTAGAATTATAAAAGGGAAGAAAAAAAAAATCAAATCTTACTATTTTTCTCTTCCCTTTTTTTTGTCATTTTTTTAAAATGTTTGTTAATACTTCATGTTAATACTTTAATACTCTTTTTTCTTTTTTTATTTTTTTCTTAATTTTCATCAAAATCTATTATCCTTTCATTTGCATTTTGCTAATTATTTTTTCTTTTATCATTATTAACAAATGATACATTTTTATGGTAATTTAGAATAAAAATTATTTTCTTATTTGTTTACTTTCGAAATTTTTGTTTTTTTCTCATTTTTTTCTTCATTAATGATAAAATTGGAAATCGTTAATTATTATTGAAAGTTTTACCTTATTCGCATTTTTCGATGATGGCAAATCCTTATCGATAGGTTGAGCAATAAAGCGTCCAATAAAAAAGATAAATATAAATATTTGGAAATGAATGAACATTTATTTTGGGAATTATTCTGAAAATATTTCTCTTTTTTTTCTTAAATTTTTAAAAACTTTTATTCGATGAAATAAAAGGAAAGAAAAATATCATTGTTGAATTGAATGCAACAAAAAAAAAAAAGAACGATTATAAGACTGAAATTTGTAGTTAACGCTTTTTTAATTTAATATTTAGAAAAATTTATCACAAAGTTGGACTGGCAGGAAAAGTGATACTCTTATTAGGATAGATGAAGCACTTCTTATGAAATCTTCGTTTTTTTACCCTCATTTTCTTTCTATTCTCTTTCTCCTTCCCCTTAGTAATTCCCCCGGTATATCTTGATGATAAATGTATGATTGAACAGACCGGATAATTTGTTCACCTCACGAATGAACCAATTAGAAGGTTAACACTAGATGGTAGAAAAAAAAGCAAAAGAAGTGAGCCGATGATATGCCGGTCATTTAGAATCGATATTAGTCATAACAGACGGAGGTAGTGATGGTGTTTGTCCACTTCTGTCGCATTTTTAAGTGACCAAGAAGAGGATGAGAAAAAAATGAAAGAAACAGTAAGAGAGGAGGAAGAAAAAGATGTAAAGAAGCAAGTGTGACCTTTGCCCTTCTAAATGAATACTGCTGGCCGTTGTTGACCTTCATTTTTTAAGCAAATGCTGCTAAGCAGCGCATTATATGAATCATTTTTAGAAGTCGAAAACTGAAAAATACTTTTTTATCCTTAAGTTCAAATTCTGATTTGTTACATTTAATTAAGTCATTTTTTTATTCAAAAATTTGCAAAGAAAGATTTTCAATTTTGAGATTTTTTAAAGTAAGCGTTATTTAAAGCGTTATAATCTATTCTAGTTTGCAAATTGTAATAATTAAGTTCTACAGAATGATGCCACATTGCATAATTAAATAGAAAGTAATTTTATTTTGAATAACTTTTTGCATAATATGACATTTGAAATGAGTAACTGATTGCAAACATTATTTCTTTAAGATTTAAATTTAAATTAAATTTCAAATTCTTCAAATGAATAAAATGAAAAATTCTAATGAAAAAATTTAATGAAAGAAATGTTTGCATCGAATAGAAAAAAGAAAAATAAATGGCCAACTTGAGAGCAAATAAATTAAGCTTACCTGCTTATCTTCACCACCCGTGAAAAGAAACGAATGTCTTCGTGAAACTTTACAGCACCTAACTGCGCTAACATGTCCTGTTAATGATAATCGCAATTTTCCACTTGCGAGATCCCATATCTGCAAAAAATAGATGATAATAGTTACAAAAACAACCGACTTTCATTTTCCATTGTAAAATTAACTTTCTCCTTAGTTCACAATGAATCTGAGAAATCGGAACCGTTATAGCAAAAACTTTTACAAACCTTTACAATTCGATCTGCACCACCTGTCGCAAACCATTCATTACCAGGTTTGACATCTATAAAAGATAATGTAATAAATATGAAAAGAAAAATAGTTTTGCTAAACCCTGCTGGTGTGGAATACCAATTTTAAAATGATGCACCTACCTTTACTTATACGAATACACTTGCATAATTTCAATGGTGCATGCTATTTAAGCTTCACCATAACCAGAGCTCGAACAGGTAATATTGCACGCATCGTATTATCTTCTGAGTAACCGGATCCTGTTAAATTATCTTTTTATTGATGATTTCCTGCTGTGTAAAAATAAATTAGAAGCAAAATCACAAATGAAAAACTACATGTGATATTGAAAAATACTCACATCATGGTTTCATTCGTACCAGCAGTTATAGCAAGTGTTCGTGAAGAGCTCTCAACAGAACTACCGATAACATTTGCTGGATTGATCGGTAATTTCAATAGTTGAAAAATACTGACTTCGTGGTTCCCTATCAAGTTATTAAGTATTAATCTTATCAAGTACTACTGCATGTAATTTAATTCACTGTTACTCCACTTTTCTTCAGTTCCATTTCATTTAAAACTTTCCCTGCAAATTCCGCGTATTTCAAATGTTTCTCTTTAAATATCATAGCTAGCATATACATGAATTTGTCAATTTTCAACCAAAATTTTTTACTGAAGTCAATGTCTTCATCAACTTTCACTCCTATGGTTTGTTGGGAAGATGTGTGTAAAATGAAATTTTATCAATAAAACACGATTGTTGGAATACATTATTGAAAACTGATCGTATCATTCGTATCTCATAACTTTAATGTCTCAGAAGACGTATAAAATGGAATATCATTTAACCAATGTCAATGAAGGGAGGAAAAAACAAAAGGAGCAAAGGGAGAACAAGAAATGTGATAAGAAAATAAACTAAAAAGCAAAAGGAAAAGAGGCCAGCATTGCTAATAATATTAAACTTCGAATCAAATCACTAAGTGAATGGATAAAAAAAGAAAAACAGAAGACAGAACTCTTCCTTAACTCCTCAGTTCATCACTTCTTGATGATGTTTGTGAGGTACTAGCATTAAAAATCATTTTTTCACGAAATATCAAAATTATGAATTAAGCATGAAAGTAACATCAAATCAACAGTGGTATCAAAAACACAACGAGGTACAAGTAACATAACAATCATAAAATTTCGTAATTCAATACGTCAGATTTAAATTAATAAGCTTTTCGCCGCAATATTTCTGGCCTCCACAGGATCGGATGTGTTTCCTCTGTCTGCAAATAAATATTTCAGTAAAAAAAAAACTACCACCATTTATTTGTCTAATTTGTTTTCCGTTTGATATAATACATCACTGAAGAAGGATACGAATAACCAACAGCTAAAAAAGGTATTCAAATATAAATTAGAATTTAGTGCTCTTCGTCAAAACGATAGCAAAGTAGTCGACTACGTTGATGGTAAAAATAAAATTTGTACATTTAATTGATATAAAAAATAATTAGCACTCGTTCGGTTAATTGCTAAAAACAATAACTATGAATAAAAGAGAAATTACCGCATTCTCATCTTCTTTATACATTTTGATTGTCTTATCAGCTTCTGCAGTAATTAATCGGGAACCTGACTGGTCGTATGTGAGTGCAAATATTCCAGCTTCTGAATCGATTGAACCTGGCTGAGCCTTTGTTTGTTCACGCTGGAAGCAAAAACCACTCTTCCAATCCCAAAAATTTAACGAACCATTGTCACCTGAAATCAGGATATTATTTATTATCACCTAGAATTATGATCTCATTAAACTTAGAACAAATGACTAATCAGAAATCCTCCTATCATTTTCGTTCGAGCGATACAAATGCAATGAAAGAAATAATGAAAACAAAAAATTGTTTGGGAATGATATAAAATAATGCGTCGAAACTCACCTCCAGAAACAAGCACACCTTCTTCATTACACGCAAGTGAATTAATAATTGCGTTATGCCCTAATAAATTTTGGATAAATATTCCTTCTGGACACTTCCATTCTTTGATATTGTCAGCACTTCCTGATGCAAACATGAAGAGTGAAGGATGCAATGTTAAAGCTCGTACACTCTTCTGAAAAAAAGTGCCACATCAAAGAGGTTCATCTTTAACCGATACGAGTTCGGTTCATCTGTAGTAGGAGTACGTCATCTAACCGAATGGTTCGTAAAAATCATACTGTATCAAATACTTAGTTTTCCTATACCGGGCGGCATATGCCTAATTTCAAAAAATGCTTACAAAAACGAACTTCCTATGCGGATGAGTCTGAGAGATAGTTTTGCATCAATACAACAGACCAAGTACAAGATCTTGTAAGGTATTTTGTGTTGGTGGAGAAAAAAATTGTACTGAGGAAATTTATTTTTATTTGATTCCTTTCAAATCACTGCAACTAGTAGAAATCAAAGAAAAATTAAAGAATAAAAACTAGGGAAAAAATAACCTTATGATGCGTTAAGGTGCAAATACTTCGTCCGGCAGCAAGATCCCAAAGCCGGATTGTAGAATCATGACTACCAGTGATAACCTGAGGATCGACTTCCTGTGAAATAACTGTCGCAACTGTGTTTGTGTGCCCACTCAAACAATGAATCTGAGCTTTGGTTCGCATATCCCAAACCTAAAATCAAATGAATTTGAAAACATATGTGAAATCCTAACCATTTATCTATGGAAATCTATGAAAAGGAAATCTTAGCCATTTATCTATGAAAAGGTGCTACAACCTGCAATGCAAAGAGTAATACACAGTTCAGACATCTAATTCTCAAAATTTTTACTCGTGCAGTAGCATCCCGAGCACAAGTGATCAAAACATCAATTGTCGGATGGATAGTAAGATCCTGAACGGCACTCAAATGTCCATGATAATGACGGATGACCTTGTTATATTCGAGATCCCAACACTTTACCTGAAAATTAGGACAGATAATTTCTGCTTATCAACATCTACTGAGTTCTGGGAGTAAAATTAAAAGCTTTTATAACAAGTCAGAAACAAACAAACAACCAAATTGAGAGCAAATAAATTAAGCTTACCTGCTTATCTTCGCCACCTGTGAAAAGAAACGGATGTCTTCGTGAAACTTTACAGCACCTAACTGCGCTAACATGTCCTGTTAATGATAATCGCAATTTTCCACTTGCGAGATCCCATATCTGCAAAAAATAGATGATAATAGTTACAAAAACAACCGACTTTCATTTTCCATTGTAAAATTAACTTTCTCCTTAGTTCACAATGAATCTGAGAAATCGGAACCGTTATAGCAAAAACTTTTACAAACCTTTACAATTCGATCTGCACCACCTGTCGCAAACCATTCATTACCAGGTTCGACATCTACACATCTCACCCAACCTGTATGCCCGGAAATCACTCTGGAAAGGATTATGTAAATAAATATGAAAAAAAAAATTCATTAAACTGGTAAGGTATGCCAATTTTAAAATGAAGCATCTACTGATACTTTTATTTATACGAATATACCTGTATAATTTCCATGGTGCATGCCACTTAGGCTTTACCATAACCGGAGCTCGAGCAGGTAACATTGCACGCATCGTATTATCTTCTGAGCGACCGGATCCTGTTACATCAGCACTTTCCTTTTCACTGAAAATTCCCTGCTGTGTAAAAATAAATTAGAAGCAAAATCACAAATGAAAAACTACATGTGATATTGAAAAATACTCACATCATGGTTTCATTCGTACCAGCAGTTATAGCAAGTGTTCGTGAAGAGCTCTCAACAGAACTACCGATAACATTTGCTGGATTGATCGGTAATTTCAATAGTTCTTCCTCCTTTTTCTCTTTGCTTCACTCACTTCTTTCATAACACTTCCATATTCAGATCTTAACTTCACAGCTCGCCATAACATATCACTGGAAGTAAGTTGTATTTAAAAATCTTTAACAAAATTGCTCCCTATAGAGCCCCATATCACAGCTCGCCATAACATATCACTGGAAGTAAGTTGTATTTAAAAATCTTTAACAAAATTGTTCCCTATAGAGCCACATATTAATAACATAATCAGCATAATGCTCAAATGCTTTATAGCTCTATTGATCGGTTTTGTAGTGTTCTTATTAGAAATTTTTCATTTCATTGCTTGAATAATTTCTCATCCATTACATATAAACGAATGTTTTAAAGCTTCATGTAAACTGGAAATCTCAGTTTCCGTAAATAGAACTTACGCTTCCGAATTTAGCTCAGGCAAGGTTCCATAGTCGTGATAGAAAAGATCATGTGTTCGTTTCATTGATCTGAATACCAGATTTAACAATGCCTTCTGCTGCGGTGTTTCTGGTGCTTCGAAATTTTGTTGCGGTGTAACCGTTTCTGTCAATGACCCTTGTTCAGAGCCGAGAGCAGCAACTTGTTCCATTATCCTCTACAAGGGTTGACAGTATAAAGGTCGAGGAAAATTTAATAATGATTATGTTCACATGCACATCGCCACTTAAAATCCACAGAAATTATTCCTTATCCCCAGCATTGATCAAGCTGAAACTTCAAGAAATAATTCCTATCGGAACCGACATTTTTACCCAATGCGATTTCAACATATCAGATATTCAAAACAAATTTCTTCAAAACATTACATGATGCTTATGCAAAAACATATAAAATCAGATATGACAACCTGAAAGAAATAATCTTGAAAGATGAATTAGTCATCTCACAAAATCGAAGAAAATGTCTGAAATATACAGAACTTCCGCCAGAACGGCAAAATACCAATAAAGAGGAAACTTTAAATTGTTTTATGCAAATCTATTCACACAATATATACAAGTAATAACAAAAGAAAAAAAAAGCGGCCCTTGTTGAAAATTTGCATCCAAATCCCGCTCCATGTCGCAATCAGTTTTTACTTGATATTATAATTAAAGACATTTTAAAATTACCCGTATCTCGTTATCTACTCGCAGTGAGGTTGGAAAATGATATAGAGAATTTCAGTGTGTTTAAAATATGAGCAAAAAACCTCCTTAAGATCACAATGATGACAATTCAATCGCTGCTTTTCCTTTCTGTTTTGGCATTTTTCGATTAGTTAAATCTTCCAATTCTTTAGCTCTGTAATAGTGCGGTGCGACTTCCGTTAACCAACTGCTTTCGATCTCGATGACCTAAAAATCGGTTATTTAAAAAAAAATCAATTCAGGTCGAAATATCTGAAAAAAGGAAGAGTATTCAAAACTACACTTCCATTTTTCATGTAGATCCGACTACTAACATGTTTTTGTAAAACAAACATAAAGATAATCCTTCATTTATTATTTAATAACCACAACGCAACAAAAATCTGGGATCCTAAATCTCGATTTCGAACATCAATAAACTACCTGAACCCAAGAGAAATTTTAAGGCTTACCTCACGCATGAACTCTTTAGATGTGAAAACAAGCTCGAAATAAATCATCCATCGTGGAGTTTCTTCGAATAAAGAGGAATTTGGATGAATATGCACCGTATGTTTATGCTTAACAGTTTTGTAATGCCCGCTGCTATCGAGTTTGGCACAATTGTAGAAATATCCTGCGGTGATTGTTTTTCGAATTGCTACCGAATCGTTATTCGAAACCTTAAAATGATTATTTTGATTCAGAATCCGATTAAATTATTGGACAATCGCCTTTGCAAACGAATACACTTCCCTAAGTTATAATTGCACTGAAAATATTTGATATGGTAAATTTAAAGAAAAGCATTTTATCGTGTTTTGGAAAATAAACCATATGGATATCAAAAGAAAAAATGAAACTTGATGTAACATCACCTATCATCAAACAATGACTGACCTTACATAACGACAGTTAGTATGAAATTTGAATAAAAATTCTTTTGCAAGAATCAGTGAGATTTCCTAATCTCTTGCATATTTCCTCCCTAGAAATTAATGGAAGAACCAGTTTCGAAAATGAATTGAATATATCCATCATATGATGCTAAACGAAAACCTGGTCTATTTCAACTCTTTCCAATAAACCTTCAAGCTGATCACGAACATCCCGAGCTTTTTTCATCGTCCTGTATTGAACAAAATTCTCCATACACCTTAAACATAATTTTAAGATACCTATTTCAATCTGACAAAACGACAAGAAGAAACGTATCAAAACTTACCACTGCGACGAGTAGTTGGTATCTCGCCAACGATTGTAAACATTGAGTAAAGTAAGATGATCACCGCCTGGTACCCAAAAGCCTTTTCGAGCAGTATCTGCGTGGATAACCAAAGCTTTAGGCCGATAAAACACTGCTGCATTACATGATAACATTCCAGCAATAGTGATGATTTCTTCAGAACATCCATATCTTAGAATTATTTAACTTTCCCTCGAAATGACTTATTATATTATTACTAATAGAAACTTTTCATGGAACATTTTATAATTAAAAAGCTATTATTCATTACGATGGGACGAATTAAAGTTTAGACACTGAACGGAGAAAACGGAAGTAAGTAGTGGCTATAATTTGGATACAAAGGCTCAGAAATAAATTGGAAAACTTTCAGCCTTTTGCTTATCTTTCAATCAGTTAATAAACCGCAATGAATTTTGCACAACCATTAAAGGATTTGAAAAATTATGAATCGATGTACTTTTCGGATGCGATAATCATTTTACTCATGCACGGATCACACGGAAATTCAGCCATACGTCTTCCCAATTTGGTTAATTCACCGCGATGATTCAAAGCACCAAGCGCATACAATTGTTCTAGCGCAATTACCAGTGTCTCCTGCGGAGGTGGATCCAAATAGTCAAAATGAACTAAATCGTGGATGCCTAAGCTTTTCAACATCAGTACAACATTGCCCAAATTTGTCCTTTGGATCTAAAAACATCGACATTATTTTCGCAGTGTTCTCATCTAATATTTTAGACTTACCTCTCGCCAAGTTCACTAAATTTTGAAAAAAAGATTTTTTCAAATTCTCCACTAAAAGGAATGAAATGTTCGAAACAGAAAGCTGAATTACTTCCGGAATAGGCTGATCTTCCAATTCATTTTTATAAGCCCAAGCTGTATATAAACGGAAACACTTTCCGGGACCAGTTCGACCAGCTCTTCCAGCACGCTGATTAGCAGCGGCCTGAAACATTACTTTTCTTTACAACCAACCATGGATACTTTTGTAGTATGAATGAAGCAAGCCAGTGATAAAATGAAACGTGAAGGAAATCTTTCTATAAAATATCAAATATGATGGAAAACCAAAAATCAACACATCTAGTAATCGACAAACCTTTGAAATGGTGACAACATGCAAATGCTCGACGCCACTTCTAGCATCAAAAGAATTCTGCTTACTGAATCCAGGATCGATCACGTAACAGATCCCATCAATAGTCACCGAGGTCTCGGCTATATTTGTGGCCAAAACCACCTTAAATTCAAAGATTTCAGAAAGATCGCGAATCCATAAAAAGAGCATTTCTATATAACTGAAAATATCACCAAAAAAATGCACACCTTCCGAGCATTTGGTGGAGTTGGTTCGAAAATTTTGGCTTGCAAATCGGATGGCAGATTCGCATAAATGGGCAAAACAATAAGCTCTTTAATTTTCTTTCCGAAATACTTTGTTCTCTCTAATAAAGATTCCTATAAAAGCACGCTTTTATGAATTTTCATTCCAAATATTGGAGATTTCAAGAAGTACAGAGCTGAGACTTTTGTGGGGTAATTCAGTCCTATTTGTTGTGGCACCATAAGCAGAGACATGCAAGACTCAAAACGTTAAATACAAAAGAGAGTGTAATCGGAAAACTTATATCAAATTAATAAGATTGATAAAACAAAATTTGAGCGAAAGCTGAAATCTATCTTCAAAAGCGAATTTACCATTAATGTCTCAATTTCGTCTTGTCCAGTCAAGAAAACAAGAATATCACCAGGAAGTGGTTGTGTTAAGTGAATCTGCAAAATCGAGACCATTGCTGCATCAAGATAATCAGCTTCAGGAGCTTTTGTGTAATAAATATCCACTGGAAAGCGCCTGCCTAAAATCGCATCAATTTAGCATAATGCAAATTTTCTACAAAAATATGAGCCTGAGGACAAACCAAATAAAGAGGATGCTAATCGAATCCTGAGGACAAACCAAATAAAGAGGATGCTAATCGAATTTATCAAATGCATAAAATATTGTAGTTCTTGGAAAATATAAAAAATATCTAGTGTCTTTGTTTACTGACCAGGTATCCTGAGTATCGGAGCGTCATCAAAAAATGTAGAGAATTTTTCAACATCAAGGGTTGCAGAAGAAATCAGAAGTTTAAGATCTTTACGAAACCGTGCTATATCCTTCACTAAACCAAATAAAACATCCGTATGAAGCGTTCGTTCGTGGGCTTCATCGATGATAATAACACTGAAAATCCCTTATTTTTGGGGATAACGACATTCAAAAGCACTGAGAGAATTCCATTTCCAATAAGCAAGAATTCTTGACTTTGGTAAATAGCTAAGTGGGTTATGAGAAATGAATAACAAACCTGTAACTGGCTAGATCAGGTTCATTTAAAAATTCCCGTAGCAGCATACCATCAGTCATATACTTGATAACTGTCCTTTCTGATGTGCAGTCTTCGAAACGTATTGAATAACCAACCTTAATAAAAAGGTACAATTATATAGTTAAAGATTATGTAAGGGGAAAAGAACAAATAAACCCAACTTTTTCATTCTATAAAATATAAGAAAACATGATGGCCTTAAAATGCTCTTACCTCAATTCCCAACTTCACACCCATCTCTTCAGCTACTCGGGTAGCTACACTCATCGCTGCCACCCGACGAGGTTGAGTACAGCCAACTTTCATTTTGTTGGCACAGAACCCCTTAACACAACGCGATAAAATCTCGAAAAAAATCTCTGCATAGAGAGTTTAGTAACAAATCATTTTTTTTAAATCTTAAATGCCTCTTCTCACCAATATTACCATTATGGGTGCAAAAGGAAAAACTTTCTGGTAATCTCAGTCAGATGCCACAGTTTAGGAACAGTGAACTAATGCCTAGACTGCATTACTTTCTATATAACGATGGCCCGCACCAGTATAATAACTTAAAATGAGATGGAAACATCTTGGATTTAAGAATCACTTAACTTTAAAGAAAGCTAACAAACCGCTTCATACAAATACTGCGGAAGTTGTGTGGTTTTTCCAGAACCCGTTTCACCTTCGATGATAAGCACCTGATGATCGTGAACTGCTTGTATGAACTCATCTCGATATGCATAAACTGGCAGCGACTTCCGTATCTCAGCTAACGTAATTTTCTTTTTCTGGGCAGCCGAAAACGTCTTTTCCTGCAGATTAGTTACAAGATATATCTAGTAAACAAGAGGAATTCGTCTTCCCGTAGATCTCACTTCCAACATTGAAACAGAATAAAATTAAAGTTACTAAAAAATTTAACCTGTAGATGGAATCATTGAAAAATGAAAAGAAGAATACAACAAACCTCAGTGTCCGATGTTCCTGGCATTTGAAAAGCTTGAATGAAATCAATTTTCTCATCATCCAATACCATTTCAAATTCGTCCCGTTTCTGAAATTGGCCACAATAAGAGAAATTTGCTCCTATAATCTGCTTTCTATTTATGTTATACCAGACTACAATATTTCGGAATTAAGGTATGAAAACCATGAAGATTCATGTAAATGAAGGATTTAGGAACATAAGATACCTTATCTTTGGCACCATACTTAGCGATAGCTGCCGCTAAACGATCATCTTCCCAACGTTTCCCATCACCCTTTGGAATTTCATCCGAATCTTCCAAACTATCCATTGGAATTGATTTCACTTTAGCATCCGGTACATGATAACGCTTAATTTTGAGAAAATCTGCTGCACGTTCATGTTGTCGTGCATATTCTAATATATCTTTTCGATATTTCATATCTGATTTCTCTCGTTCTGTTAAGCTGAAACCAATTTCTAATAAAATCTTTGGATTCATTTTATAATAATCTTTAGCTATAATCACCTGCTTTTATTTTTGTGACATGTTCGCCCTGTTTGTGCGTAATGGAATCCTCCGGAAGCATCCAGAAACTAACTGAAGAAAATGAATTTTCTTTAATAAGTTGATAAAAACAAAGCATACCGCTCATTCGCGAAAAAGTGTTCATCATCCTCAACAATTTTTTCAAGTTCATCAAGCTTATCATCCTTCCTCTTCGATAAATACTGCTTCCGGCTTTCTTCACGCAGTTGTGAAACAATCTTACCACGATCTTTTGTTTCCAACTTTAGCCTAAATAACCTTCCTTTCAATTAAAAAACTAGAAACTCATTTCGAGGACTTTAAAATGCAATTTAAAAAAAAAGACCTTTTCGCAGCTTCTTCCTCAGCCTTTTTTTCCGACTTTGTAACTATATTTCGAGTTTTTTCTCTGTCTCGTTGTCTTATTCTCGCCGCCAGTTCATCACGCTCTCGCAAATCTTGCTCCTCCTCAGCGTTTATCCGATCCATCTCATCGCTTGCGCTTTCTTTCACCGAAAGTTTGCTTTTGGCTTCCTTACTCTGCAATAATGATACCCAATTATTACCTTGTCAAGAAAAAGAAATTCAAAAGTAAAAATTTTTTACAATTACTCTTACAAACTCTTCTGTGAAACCAAAAAGAGAGTTCCCCGCTTAAAATTTTACTGGATTTCCAAATCATAATCGTAAAGCAGCGCATTCAGCATAATAATACGGATTCATAATCAACACCGTGTTTATGGGTTCCCAAGAGGAGTTGTGATGATAATTACCTAATTATTCCAGTATGGCTAAAAACGAGGAATAAAAACTAAACCGCTCGTACTTCTTTGCGCTTCCTAGATGGTACATCTTCATCATCAGATTCTATTATCTTTAAACCTCGATTTAGACGCATGATTTCCTTTGCGCGCAATTCAGCTGCTGATGGTTGTATTACTTTTTCTACTTTGGCAACTGAAAAGTATAGCAAAAACTTCGAACACCATCATTATTCAACGATGTATTTTGTACCTATTTCCCATCATTTCTAAACAAATTATTCACCTAACTTATTGCTTCATCATAAAATATCCTGTCAATGAACCTCAATGGGTCAAGAAACAACAACGGAAGAAACATGCAATCACATAGATATTCATGATTATCGTGTAAATCAGGTTAATAAAAAGAAATTCCAAAACAGACTAACCTGCATGTGGTACGCGTGCAATCAACTCATTAACAAATTTCCTTACAGCTGGTGTATCATCCATTGTATCCGTACTTCGTAATCGTTCTAACAAATCTTCAGCATCCGTTGATTTTCGTGTCAGTGCTAAGATATACTGCACAGCAGTACGGTCACTGCAACCCACCACCTTGTATAATTCATCGTTTACCCATTGCTCCAACAAAGTTGCCATTTATTGACTAACAGTAGCACAAATTACTCAGTTTCAAAGTAACAAATCCTGAAAAATGGTAGTAATAGCATCTCTAAGTTTTAATATTATACGTGTAGATGAAATGTGGACAGATATTTTTAAAAATATAACAATATTTGAAAATATTTCATTGTAAATACATGCATAAATTTCCACTTAATAAAGATTTCACCCTACAGTAGTAAAATATTCGAAGAAATGAATCTATTAAACTTAAATTACCCATTTGAAATGACATAATTAAGTCTAACCACACCTAATTAGTAGCAACCAATTAAATACCACGTAAAAATGATGTTAATAGACCATCAACAATCATCGTGAAATATCAACCAACTATGGAAATGAAAATTTTGTGTCTCTTGATAGGAAACTGCAAAAGGTTAATTTATTTCGATGAGAGTTCGTATCTTTATGTTGGATGGTTCACCTTCACTGACTGCATTGGTTGTTAACCAGCAATGTACATATGACAGAAGTGATTGTCAACAACAATGAATGCTTAAAGGTGACATTCTGAATAATATTTTTATTAATGATGTGAAAGTTTATTCCGAATTATATCAAATTATTTTCAAATTTATTCATTATTACCCGTATCATTCATTGTATTACATTATTATAACTTTATTACATGCAATAATTTGTCTTTGATCAAATCTGGCATTTATAATTATGATTATATTTAGCGTTAATAGTTGCATTAATTGCTCGAACAATTGAAATCCCCTAAAAGTTGATTTTTTTTTCTTCTAATTTTTTTTTGAGAAATTTTTAATAATTCGAATAACAATGCATCCTAGATCTTTTCTCGAAAAATTATATTTTATTGCTCATATTAGATACGTTATATAGTTCATTTTGGTATATTACCTGATATCGATGATATCATTATAATTATTTCATTAATTTTTAATAAAAATAGCACATAAAGTTGTTGTTAATGAGCAATGCAATGATTAATAATTAATCACTACAATAATTACACGGATAAAGTATGACTTTCTAATAACATTAATGATCTATTTGTTTGTTTATATTTTCTTATTGGAAATGGATTAATTTAATGGAAAAAAAGTTTAACATGACAAAAAATATTTTAAATTTAATGAAGAAATAGAAATTTATTTCTTTTAGGATTTAACATTATATTATACTGAATGAAAAGTTTAATATTTGCAATGATGTAAAAACGTTCGTTAACAAATATATATATATATATGTATATATATATGTGCTTATTAAGTAAGGATAATTTAATGTAAGCAAATTTCTTTGCAATATTTTTTGCTGCTAAATATCTCCTGACTATTGTTTATTATAGCAATCATTAAATTTTAATTTTTTAGTAAATTTTAAACTTTAATTTCTTTTTCTATTTTTTTAAAATTTTTTCGATATATATTTCTTTTTAATATAAAATTTCCCATAATTTTCAAGTTCTGACTGATTTCATATGTTTTACAAAAATGCTCCTCAAAGAAGTATAAGATCTAATTACTGTTCTCCCATGATTTCAAAAAACAAAAAAAAGGTCACCCCATAATATTATAAAGCGATTTGTCTTTTTAAGGAAATGAAAAACGTTTGCTGCATTTCTTACATCCAATTATGCTTCCATTAGTGCACTGAAATTCTGGAGAAATTACATATCGCCCATTTGTACCTAATCAGCAATGTTCCATGCGATATTCTTCGAATATGTAATGGATGTGGACAATGTTGACAAGACACAAAACTACTGTCACGAAATCGAATCTTTGGATTTTCTAGATGTTTACTTCAGCAACCTCTTTGAACGTCCATAAATTTTCGATTTAGCAACAATGTTTTTTCGTAAATTTAAATTACTTTTATTTGCAAAATGAAAGAAGACAAGGATGGGGAAATCCCGCACAGTTTAAAGTAATTTTAATTTCATAAAAATTAAATCTAAAAATTAAAAATCAAGTAATTTTATAAAAAATTTATATATCTTGTCCTGAAAGCAAAAAATATTTTTATAATATAAAATCACGTCAAATTTTCAATGGACTTTTGTATTATAGAAATATCTCCGGCTAATTAATTAATTTCATGAAATTTTTTGGTATAAAAATTTACAATGGAAAACTGTCAGATAAATGATTACTCAAAATGAAACTGAACGCAAATATTTTTATCCTTTGCGTAATAAATGATTTTAAATCTTCTTTAATCTGACAAATAAACTTGTTTGTTACGTATGAAAATTTGCCAGATTTTCCAAATAACTCCAAACACCGAAATTAAGATCATTCTGCTTATCAAACATCTTCCGATTTATTGGAAACATCTTATGATAACTCGACCTTATCACATGTTACAATATTGTAAACAACTCTATTATAAAAGAAGTTAGAATCCTAATAGTATTCAGTTTTACGAAATATGAAAACCGAATAGTTGTTTACCGACAAGAACGTTTTCGGTAAGCAACTATTCACTCTTCATATTTCGCTACTATTCAAAACTTCAAATACATAACTATTTCTGCAATTAAAAGAACTACCGGTGATATTCCTTGATATTTCTTATAACGTTCGATTGGAATATTCTCTGTCGACTAATAAACTCATATTACAATCATTTGTCTGTGTCAAATAAAGGACAAATTCAACCTTCCCGAAATATTCCTTATTATTTGTAACGAATAAATAATATGAAAACACAGCAATGACGTGAATTTCGAGGAAACTAGGCAAAACCGATGAAAGCTGTCATTTTCAAAATTTAATATTTTGCTGTGATAAGCAGAAAAAGTAACAGTGAGGAATCATGGACCAGTAGGTCTTTCTTACATGAAAGACCTACTAGTTTATAATTTTTTACATGGTGTAAAATCTTCACTAACCAAAGGAAATTTCGGGAATGAAAACAACAAGGTAGATTAACAAGATTGAAATCCTCTAAAAAGATTATTATGGAATAAAAAAAAAAAGATTATTATGAAAGTTCGATAAAAAATTGGAAAATACACTTACAACAGAAAATAGTCCTACGTACACAGTGGGTATGCCACATCACTCAAAAATCTAACCTGAACTACTCCAATGGTGCGAAAATATCGAATGTTAATGTGTATTAATTAAAATGTTAATGTGTATTAATTAAAATTCAATCGGTTCAAATTATGACATTGAAAGAAAAGAGTGGATTAAGGAATGTTATGGTGGCTGAAATTCTGAATCTTTTTAACAGGTCATTGAAATTATCACGTATTCGCTTATTGAGATCCTCAATGGATAAATAATAGCTTTCAATGCCATTGCTATGAACCTTGTGTCTTCTGACGTACAATACATATATATATATATATATGTATACGTATATATATATATATATATATATATATATATATATATATATATATATATATATATATATATATATATATATATATATATATATATATATATATATATATATATATA